CTGCGAAAGAAGGTTGCCCCTCAGGTCCTTTTAAAATCTTTCTCCTCTCACCTTAAACCTATCCCATTTTAGTTTTGGACTCCCCTACCCTGGGAAAAAGACCTTGACTATTCACCCTATCCATGTCCCTCATGATTTTATAAACTTCTGTAAAAGGTCACCCCTCAGCCTCTGACACTCCAAGGAAAAAACGCCCCGGCCTATTCAGCCTCTCTCTACAGCTCAAACCCTCCATGACAGAGCTGTAAGATTTATTAAAAGTTCCGCTTGAGGTCAGCAGATTTTGATAACATTATACAATATGCAGACAAGTGCCAGCCACAGAGTATCTAGCACTGCTGTGTAACAGTACTACACTGGCACTTGACAAATGGGCCACCTTCTACCACATCTGTTTCCAGGGACTGTATCCAGGGATGAACTTGGCCATGCATTGTGTGCTTTACTGTTTACCAAAGAGGACAAGCTTCCCCTTACCTTCCCTCTTGTGCTTTCACACTGCAAGTCATTTCTCTTCCCCTCGACTCTTTGTTGCTATTAACATCTCAACGGGCTCTTGAAGGGATCAAGGACTTTAAACCTTTCAACTCTGCTCCATCTTGTTGCTATTGTGCCTTGTCAGCACAGAAGTAGTTTTAAGACATTAAAGGAACAAACACAGCGACAGGCATATTCAGGCCTTCCCGTGCATCAGTTCGAACATCAAAGCACAAGAAACAGCAGCTGCGATAGGCTATACAGAAGGTGCAATGTCACGCAATGACCACAAATTCTGCCTTCCCGCCACATTTGCTCTGGCATCTACCCAACTCTGGAGCCCATGGCAAGGCCGCCAAAACTTTAGGCCCCTGTATCTCTGTAAGTGGCTGCATCCTTTTAAATTGCTTCAAGGGTCAAAAACATTTCGGACAATCTGCAGCCCATCCATCTGAGGGCTCGAGATTCAGTCAAATTCCGCTCAAACAGCTTGCCAAGCAGATCATCTGATGTTCTGCCTCAGATGACTGGCAGGGTCATCAGTTTTCAAAATAATTGGTCTTTGTTAATTAGGTTGGTTCATTGGTGCATGCTGGTGAACAAACTCAACAGGATGGCACGGTGGCTCAGTGGTTAGCACTGCTGCCTCACAGCACCAGGGACCCAGGTTCAATTCTCACCCTCAGGTGGAGTTTGCGCATTCTCCCTTTGTCTGAATGGGTTTCCTCCCACAGTCTAAAGGTGTGCAGGTTAGGTGGATTGGCTGTGCTAAATTGCCCCATAGTGTGCAGGTTAGGTGGATTGGCCGTGAGAAATGCAGAATTACAGGGGTTGGGTCTGGATGGGATTTTTTTTTGAGGGTTGATTTAGTCTTGAATGGGCCAAATGGCCTGCTCCCACCCTGTAGGGATTCTATGAGGTCACTGAGGAGCCCACTGCTAATTTCTCAATGTAATTCCTCACTGGCAGTCTCTACTCTTGGCTCAGCTATTTCCAGGAATTGGGCAGCAAGGGCACAACAATTACCCAGGGAGGGCAGAGACCATCAGAAAGGCAGGTGACCCATACCACTCTTTGAATATTGCCTTGGCAACTATTTCAAAAGCAATGTCGGTAACAAGAGGGCACCTAGTTAACCTTAGGGAGAGGTGAATCTATGGGAACATCAGAGAAAACATCTTGACACACAAAGAGGAGTGAAAGTCAGGAGCACCTCACCTCAAAACAGTCAGTGATGGCGGGTGGGTAAAATGTCGAAACTGAGACTGATACCTTTTTGCTAGACAAGACTAGGGATTAGGGATTCAAGGCAGGCATATGAAATTTAGACAGAGACCAACCATGATCAAACTTGCTGGCGGAGCACACACAAGGAACTGAATGAACCGCTTCTGTACCTACAGCCCGAACAGTGAGTAGGTTCCCGACTCACTCATCAACGCAGGGAATAGTTTGAGGAACAGTGAAAGACCTGAGAGAAGACAGCAATCACTTTTAAATTGGGGCTGACAATGTTATTACAATCAGTAAAAAGTTTAAGAAAGATTCATAACAACCTGGCTTCTGAATTGTTACTCAAGGGGAAAATGGGATGTTGATATTCGAGCTAATTACAGGAAGTTAGTTTATTTTGACTCTCTCAGAATTCTTAGAACTTCCTTACTCAATTATTAATGTTACAACCAGAAGTTACAGAAACTCTCATCTGATGAATATCATTAAAATCCAAGCTGACAAGCATTGGCAGGTTTCTAAAACACAAATTTATAATTGAACACTGATGAAAGTCAGAATTGTTCAGAGCAATGCATGTGAATACTTGGCCAATAAATGTAGTCAACTTTGGCACTTCACAACGCACAACATTGCCACCCAACTCGAGCTAATCAACCAGAAGCTTTCCAAACCATCTAACCCTTCCATTTTGCAGACGTGCTGAGTTTGAAAATTGCACAAGGATACATCTTTGGCATTCTCCCAAACGATTGCAATTAATGCTGTCAAGCAACGGTCTGTCACTTCTGTGAGTCAAACTTAACTTGTCTCAGTGGATAGCACTCTCATCGTGTGGGTCAGGAGGTTCATGCCCCACTTGAAACTGGAGCACTGTGTCCAGCCTGATACTCCTATAGGGTAAGCACTGAATTACCAGAGGGACCATTCTTCACAGCTGCAGGCAGCGTAGATCAGGAATTATTTTGAAGAACAGCAGAGAAGACCCACCCAGGATCTTGACGAACATCTATCTCCCAAACAACATGAACAAGAAAACAAGATCTGGTCATTGTCACAGTGTGGGACATAACAGCCATGTTTCCCACACTACAACACAGGTTAAACTTCAAAAGTACATAAACAAAGTTGCTGGAAAAGCTCAGCAGGTCTGGCAGCA